GCTTGAGGACAAGCAAAAGCCTAAGTGTGGGAGATTTGATGTACTTATATTTTACACACCTTTTAGGCTTAGTTTGTTAATAATTTTAGTTAATAAAGTTGTATCTTTGTACATATTTTTATTATTTGATGTTAGTTTGTATTAGTGCAATTCTATACGGGTATTTTATATTTTCAGGAACTTTTGATGTCATTTGGATACATTTGAGTGTGAAAAAGAGAAGAAAATAAAAGTTCAAGTTGGAAGACAACAAAAGTGGAATCTCCTTCAAAGCAAATATGGAGTACATTGAAGAAAGAAAGCAAAAAGTGAAAAACACGAAGGTGGGATTCCAACCTTTGCCAAGACGGGGGAGTAGAGCTAAGCAAAACCAGCGCGCTACTATGTCAAAGTTTAATTTGGTAGCTGGAAAGCTGTATACATTATTGTAGTCGCAGCACCAAAAAGAAGAACAAAAAGCCTTCACGGGGGTTCGAACCCGCGACCTACGAGCAATGAAATGTCAATACATCAACTCCTGCTGCGCCAAAGTCAATTGTTGGTTTCCTTTATACGCCTTTTGGTATCTAAACACATCGTTTCCGTAAATTCCAGCCATTAATGATTAATCATCTTATCATTATAAGGCTTAATCCATCTCCTTCCACACATAATCTCGAGCCAACTTCTCTCTACACCTCCCAAAATCATTTTCTCCTCCTTCTCTCTTCATTCTTCATCTCCAAATCATCAACCAATCTTCAACATCAATTAATCACTTTCTCAATCAAGATTAAAGTCAAGATTAGCACCAAGCTCCAAGGATTAGCATCTATCACAAGTTTGATCTTCCTTATCTCTTTAAATCTTGTACTTCAATCATGAATTCATCTATTTCTAAGCTTCCCAACATGTATAGCTAAATAAATTTGGGGCTAGAAATTGGTTAATTAATTGTTCTTATCATGTTTTAATTTGTATTGATTTTAATTGTTAAGTTTGTTCTATTTAGATTGTTGTGTCCAGAAAATTAATTATGTTATGTTTGTGATATATATTATGAGTACTCAATCATAAACATATTGTTTGTTAAATACACAAATGAACACTTTCTGAACACACCATTAAACTTCTTTTACCTTGTCCCGGATTGAAGTTTTACGGGAGAATTTAATTATTTAATTATATTATTTACACCACGGGGTTGGGTAAATAATATAGTTAATAATTAAGGTTGTCGTTGCACTTAAACAACTAGTCTCATTTTGGCCATCACTGGGAAATGTTGACTAGTTACTTATTTTAGATGACTTGTGTTGGGTCCTAAAATATTTATCCACAACTTCTCACAATCTATCTACGAATAAAATTAGCAATTATTTCTTTCAATTAAACATTGAACAATTAGTTACTAATTTCTACCCCTACTTACTATTGGTTGAACTTTGTGTTGATAAAAATCTCTCATCTCAATCACTTTTATTTTATTACTTTTCCAAGCAACCAAAAAAAATCAAAAGAAACGCACTCCCAACTTTAATCCTTAGTTTGTGCTTAATTATTTTATTTTCCGCTTCTCTGTGGTTCGACACCCTACTTCCTTGGGTAAAAAAATAGTTGTGTGCCCATTATATACTACACACCAGTTGTTAATCATATATCATGTTAGTACAAATATATGTTGATGATATCATATTTGGAAGTACTAACCAAGATCTGTGCAAGAAATTTTCTCAAGTAATGCAGAGAAAGTTTGAGATGAGCATGATGAGAGAACTAAGCTATTTTCTTGGATTGCAAGTCAAACAAGTTCCAAAAGGAATCTTTATCAATCAAGGAAAATACACAAGAGAACTCATCAAGAAATTTGGACTTGATGGGAAGTCTTCTGTCAAGATACCCATGAATGCCTCTCAAGGCATTGGACCTCATGATGAAGGAAAGGATGTTGATGCAATTCAATATAGAGGAATCATTGGATCTCTTCTCTATCTAACTGCAAGCAGACCAGACATAGCATTTGCTGTGGGAATCTGTGCCAGATACCAATCAAAGCCCAAGGAGAGCCATCTGTGTAAAGAAGATTATCAAATACATCAAAGGAAATCCAAATGCAGGCCTATGGTATCCCAAGGGAGGTAACTTTGAACTAATTGGTTATTCTGACTCAGATTTTGGAGGTTGCAGATTAGACAGGAAGAGCACCTCTAGTCACTGCCAATTACTAGGTGGGAGACTTGTCTCCTGGTTTAGCAAGAAGCAGAACTCTATCTCAACAAGCACTGCTGAAGCTAAATATATTGCTGCTGGAAGTTGTTGTGCTCAAATGCTCTGGATGAAGCAACAACTCAAGGATTATGGTGTTCAAGCAAAGGAGATCAAGCTCCTCTGTGACAACACAAGTGCCATTGCCATCACTCAGAACCCTGTGCTTCATTCTAGGACAAAGCATATTGAGGTCAGACATCACTTCATCAGAGATCACATATCAAACACCTCTACATCGGAACCATCAACGGCCTCGGTGCCCGAGTCATAGTCTGCTGGGCGGTCATTATCGGCGGCCACGTTCTCCACAACCATCTGGACCGCACCCTCTTGGGGGGTGTTGCCCCCATCTCCCCTAGGGACCGCGTCACCCTGGGTTGTGTCGGTCGAGGAGGTACTCGCAGAGGTAGAGGTCTCGGTGGCATTGTCTTGCACAATCGTCCCCGCAACCGACGGGGAGCCGGAGCGGCCGGAAGTACTGGCGCCCTTAGAGGAGCGAGAACCGGACTCAGAGCCAGAAGAGGAGCCGGAAGAGGAACTCGAGCCAGAACTCGATGAGATTTCCATAGAAGCCATGGGAAGAATCAAAAAGGGATTACGAAGAAGGGAAAATAGAGCCTAAAATACCTTGGATCAGCGGAAGCAAGCTAGGGACCTTGTGGACGAACTGAGCACAGAGCAGCGGAGATTCTAGAGCGAGAGGGCAGAAATCGGGAACCCTAAGCCTAAGGGAAACCCCGGTATTTATAGGAGAGGCACCGATTCGGGAGCCAATGGGAAGGTGACGCGTGGTGAGGAGCGTACCCAGGGGCACGCGCTACGCGTGGAATGGAGAGTGTAATGATGACCTTTCCTCGGGAAATGCACCGTTTCTGCGGAAATATTTTTTGTTCAAAGTTGAATAGAACACAAACAGGTTATCTCATTGGCATTTCATTGGCATTTTAGTATATCACTATTAACACTGATTTTCTTTATTTCATTTAACATATAATAATTTGTTATATTAAATCATGATAATTTACCGATACCGTACCTTACCATACCGAAATTTTGGTATACCGAAATTTCGGTATGGTAACGGTATGCATTTTTGCATACCAAAACTTTACGGTATGGTAAAGGTATGCGATAAAAGATGCGGTATACCGTACCGAACCACCCCTAGCCAATCCTTAGGAGTAGGCTGCCGATATGAGGTTTCAACTTATTTAGTTAAGGTATAGCAATGAACTATACTCTAACATAGTGGCTGACTTTAGAACTAGTCTAGCACACAAGTAAGAAGGATTTAGACCAATGAGATTAGGTCACTTTGAAGAACAAATAACAAGAAGATGACTCACAGTGAACTGGGAAAGTTCATTGGGCAGTTTTAGTGAGCAAACTATTTTGCTGTGACGTTGTGAAGGTGAGTGAGTACTTAATACTACCTCCGTCCCGTTGGAATGTTCTCGTTCGGTTTACGATGCTTGACTGACGATAATGCAACTCGATCCCTGTTCACACTCCGCTTTTTTTTAGTAAATAAAATTTACATATTCAGAAACTACATTAAAACCGCTACAAAGCCTGATCAAGAAAAGTTCAATTTAATAAAAATTTGATATATAAAGTAAAAGATTAGGAGTGACCTAAGTTGACCAATGAATAGTGAACGGAAACATTCCAACGGGACAGAGGGAGTATGTGTTAGGAGCAGAATGTAAAAATGACACACGATGTACTTTACCACTATAATATGGAGCACATTACAAATAAACAAAGTAGAACATAAGTAGTAGACTAGTCTAATACATGGATAAATAAAAAGGGACGACATCATCAAAACTATTACAATATCATCAAAATCTAGGGGACCTAACAAATTCCACCGGGAACCGCCCCAAATCGCAACGGCCGGACAAAGTCTCCCATATAAGGACTTATTTGACCTTTTTATGAAAGTTCGAAGACCTATTTGACAGTTTTTTTTGTTTTATATATGAATTGGCCCAATGCAAAATCTAATACTGGCCCAGAGTATGGTCCAGTGCAAATAACCCGTCCAGTGCAGCGATAAAGAAAGAGAAGGATGTTTCCGTCTCTGGCATCTATGTTGCACGGATACGGATACGTCGATACGCGAATACGGGTACGGCGATACAGCAATTTAAAAAATTATAGGATACAGTTACGGGGGTATTTTATAAATAATAAAAATATAGGGTATAATTTGCAAATATATAAAATTCAGGAGTTCATAAATAAAACAATTATAGTACAAAAAATTAACTATTATAATAAAATTTCAAATATTTGGCTAAAGAAACTAAAGTACTGATATTTTGATTTAAATTCAAGCAACGTTTTTTTGTTCTCTATTTACATTTACATCTAAATCCTGTTTAAATTAAAGCTCATCAAGCGATATAATGAAAAATTTTAGTATTCCATTATTTTCCATACTCCCGAAATCATCTTTACCAATGTTCCACATCTTGTGGCTGCTTGGACGGCTATTAAATTTTCGTCATGTCGTGTATGAAATGAGGGTTACAGGGTCAGATACGCGTATCGGCTCACAGATATGAGTATCAGAAGTATCAGTATTTTTAAAATTAAGATCGATACTTTTGTTAAAGAGTTTTGCTAGAGGTACACAAAATTAGTTTTTTGTGACAGACAACTTGTCTGTGAATGACAGACATGTGTACACAAAATGTGTTTTGTGTACCTTAAGTATTTTTCTTTATTAAATTACGTATAAGAACTCAATACATACATGAAGCTTATCACGTATTAGTATCACCCGTATGGGACAGATACATGTTGGATACGCAGATACGGGTGAAGTATGGGTGCAACCATTGCAAGTAAGCGTAGAACTGTAGAAGTGGCAGAACCAAAGCCAGAGACGGACGTTTACGCATCGCCAATCGCAGCAGACCACTCCGCCCACTCGCATCGCCTATTCGCCGGACGACGGACGCCGCCTCTCCTCCGCTCGGACCGCTCCGCCGCTCGCCCAGCACAGTACGTTCCTTTGAGTTGACTGCTGACCTGTTGCCTTCTCCAGTTCTCTCGAGGCAAGGGTTTCAGTTTTATGTTTTTACAATTTTTAGTTTAATTTAAGTATTTTATTTATTATTTTAGTTTGTGTTTGTAACTTAGTGTGTCACAATTGATTTGTGTGCTTTGAATTGTGAAATGAAAAATTAGGATTTAGGAATGTCAAATGTGATTTGTGAATTTCTTAAAATATTAATTTGAATTATATGAATTCAAGTAAAATATTGATTAGTTTTTTATTTTTTTGCTAATTTTAGTAGGTATGGCTAAAGTCAAAGAGCTTGTTCAGTTAACGTTTTAGACTTTTAGTTTCAAACATTGAATGTATTGTTTAAAAATATTACTATGAATTTTAATCATTATGTTCACACTATTGTCGCTTTTAAAATTTTTATATAATGTTTTTAGTGTATAGTCAGGCACTCGGGCCAGGGTAAACATCCGTCCTGGGTACGCCCTTGGGCCCTGGCACTGTATGTCATGTTTATACACGACTCTTTATTTGTTCTTTATCAGCCGGTTATTGTTGTTGTCTGACCTATCTATATATGTGCTAGCAACCTCCTTCGGTTACTTTTCTGCCTTTATTTGTTCTTCGGTTACTCTTTATTTGGACATGTTTCTTGCATCCATGGTACATTTCTTGATATTTTTGTGCAAAAAGACATGAATTTTCTTTTTTTGTGTACTGGTGAATATCAGTTTAACAGCTTCATATATGTTCATTTTTTCAGCTGAGCTCTTGCTCTTTGTATAGTTCAGTAGTTCTACTTTCAGTTTTCTCACACACCCTACTTCATTTATTCGTTGTCATTCAAAAGATATGAAAGAAAAAAAGCAATATATATATATATATATACTTAGAGTCTTAGAGTTGACAAAGTCAATTATGCAATTTCATTTGTTTCTTTCTCTGGTCAGATATAGTAGGTGGAAATGTTAGGTGGTTCTCATGTTCAACTCAAGGCTTGGCAGCGGGCTGCTGTTGCATTTGGTTCAGCAGTGGGGGCATTGTTGGACCCACAAAGAGCTGACCTGATTGCAGCTTTAGGGGAGACCACGGGAAAACCTGCTTTTGAGAGGGTCTTGCAAAGGATGAAGAATAGTCCTGAGGGGAGGGTAAAGCTTCTTGACCAATTATTGCAGTCCTCATTACTCAGTCTGTGGTTGGGACTTGGGAGTTGGGTTTTGGAGGTGTGGGGTAGGAGGGGTTATTTAAATTCTATAGGGATATGGTAATAAATCAGTTACTGTGATGCTGAGTTTATTCAAATTTATCAATTTAGATTGATTATTTTTAAAATTTTACAATGAAAAATAACCACTCTCCCTCTCCAAACCCCTTGAAATCCCAACACTCAAACAGAGCCTTAATCTTTAAGGGTAAAACATGGCAATATATGTGCAAGTCGCCATCTTGGTTTGCTTACGGTGGACTTCATGAATGCTATAATAGTCGAATCTGTGCATAAAGTGCTACTAAGATCATATTCAATATAGGATACCAATGCCAATCAATTGAACTCATGATTTGATATTTTAATTGATATTCTGCATATCTGTAAATGTTAGTTTCAGAAGCTGGTCCATTCCGCTAGGCTTTTTGAAACAAGTGGTTGTTGGGAGATGTGAACTACTGTGTATATACTCCCTCCATTTTAATGAATTGTTCCTAGAGGGTTTGCACTGAGTTTAAGATCAAAATAGTCGGCGACTCGGCGTAGTGAATAGTAGGAGAGGCGATAAAAGAAATAGAAAATGCAAGCAAATCAAGATGAAGAAGTAACAGAGTTTATGTAATAAAGCAAGGGTAAACATAATGACAAAGGTTGTGTAATTAGGAAGTGGTGCAAGAAATTAAAAAAACTTTCCAAAAAAGAATACTCAACAATTAAAAAAAACGTAGGACACAACCAAGAACTACGGAGTGTGTCTTGGGGCTGTTTTGGTTCTTTCAATTGTAATAATTATATTTTCCCCGAATATTCTGCGCTTTTGAGATCTGATGCATGCAGTGGAATCACATCTTATGCACCGATTTTTTGACAGGTGATGCATGCAGTGGGATCACATAGTGGTGCTATTTGTTATAGTATGTGTGCTGTGTGCTTAATTATTAAGTATTTCTTTTCAAAACAGAAAGTTTCCAATTTTTGCCTTGTTGAAAATTTCCCTTCTAGAGAATGATGTCTGCAGATTCCATGGCAAATTTTGGGGTCATTTCAGTTAGTTATACATCCAAAACCAACCAGAAACTGTTGCATAAACTTATCATCTTGATTCTTGAGCAATTCTCATGTTTGTAACCCTTGAATCTTCTAAGGCAAAGAGTTCTTGAGAATCAGGTGACGATCTACAACGGGTTTTGGGCTGCGGTCAGTAAGATCAAAACTAACAAATAGCCCATAGTCATGCACTGGCAGAGAGAAATAAATGTTGGGGGGGAGCAAAAGTTAATTTTTTCTGTGAAAGTATAAGTGCAATTTCTTTTATTCACAACACTCTAATGGCCCAACCATTGTAGCCCCTAAGACAAAATAATGCACTTTTATAAGCTTTCAATCTTCTGATCTGTTGAGATGTTTGTTTTGGTACTAGATTTCTTAGACTGACCACATTATGTTTCCCTTTGAACAATTGGGGTTTAGTAAACAAAATTCTGACATTGGGTACTTAGCTTCAAGATTCTTCAACAACCCCAAGTACAAGAAATGTGACTTGGGTGATCTGGCGCGAAAAGTTCTCGGGATTAAGAGAATGATTGGATTGACTGATTCTTCGTCGTTTGAAAGACATGAGCAGATCAAATGTGGAATCTTGGCATTTCTCTTTAATCTTTGATTTGTCTATAAGTAAAGCTATTTGAATTCAACCTGTTTGTTATGCGCTCTCTCAGGTAGTCTTATCAGAGCGTCCTCGAGTAATCTCTTCTCAGGTGGGCCGTGCATGGGAACTACCAGACAACACATTTGGAGCTGCATATGCCAAGTTCATGGGATCTAGAAACTTCTCCCCTGACGATCGGCCGCCTGTTCGGTTCATGGAACCAGAAGAATTAGCTTATGTGGTCATGCGTGCCCGCGAGGTTCATGACTTCTGGCACACCCTCTTCGGCCTTCCCACCAATATGATTGGAGAAACGGCACTTAAGGTGATAGAGTTTGAACAGATGATGCTCCCCATGTGTATGATGTCTGTGGTGGGTGGTACAGCAAGATTCACCGAGAGACAAAGGACACTGTTCTATCAGCATTACTTCCCTTGGGCACTCAAAGCTGGTTTGAGATGCACCGACTTGATGTGTGTGTATTATGAGCGGCACTTTGATGAAGATTTGGAGGATGTTCGCAGAAGGCTGGGGATTATTCCAGCTCCACAACCAACTCATTCATGAAGTTTTGTGAAAGAAATGAAAGTAAGAAAGTTCGGATTGTCTTCATCTCTTTTCCCCATCCATTCCCTTCAAATATAATCTTCGGATTGTCTTCATTTCTTATGGGGAAAAATAATTCAAATAGCTTAAACTGTGGAGTGTGACTCTGGTACCCCAACTTGCATATATATAAGATAAATATGATTAAGTTTACATTTACTTGATATCAACGTCACTACTCATACTTTTTCCTTCTTTAATAGCTCCAAAATTCTGAATTTCACTATTCATATATTCTACTTTGACTACTTTTTATTATTATAATATACTAAGAAGCTGTTCTCTTCACCTGATCTGAATGTTTCTGATCTGAATTTTTTAAGTTCTGATCTGATCTGAATCTTTCTGATCTGGTCTGATCTGATCTGAATCTTTCTGATCTGGTCTGATCTGATCTGAATGTCCCTGATCTGATCTGAATGTTTCTGATCTGATCTGAATGATTCTGATCTGATCTGATCTGATCTGAATCTTTCTGATCTGATCTGATCTGAATAAAATAAGAATAAACAATAAGTAATAAGATTAAGACGAACAGAACAGCTTCTAAATGGTTATACTACAGAAAAATTTTAAAATTTGTCTCACAAAGTACAAATTTAAAATATGATTTTTATTAAAATATATCAATGATTAAAGTTGTACGTTGTCAATTGCTAAATTTATAATGTTGCAATTATATAAGAATAGGCTAAAGGGTCAAATAGGCCCTTGAACTGTCTTAAAGTGTTCAATTAGCCCTTATATAGGAGGTTCTGCTCGGCCGTCGCCAATTGGGGCGGTTCCCGGTGGAATTTTTTGATGAATTTTTTTGAGCATCTTCTTCATTAAGTCTAGTTTACTCATACCAAATTTCAGCTAAATATTCAACCGGGAAGGCAGTCAAATGATTTTCTGAAATGTACTGCGCTGTTTAACTTCGCAATTATCTTCAAAAAATCATTTGACTGTCTTCGCTGTTGAATTTTTAGCTGAAATTTGGTATGAGTAAACTAGACTTAATGAAGAAGATGCTCAAAAATCATCAAAAAATTCCACCGGGAACCGCCCCAATTGGCGACAGCCGGGATGAACCTCCTATATAAGGGCTAATTGAACACTTTAAGACAGTTAAAGGGCCTATTTGACCCTTTAGCCTATAAGAATAATATAAATGTGGTAATTATGTACTTTACAAATCAAAGTTTAGAATGTGAATTCTACAATCATAATAAGATTACTTAAACTATGTATTACCTCCGTCATACTTAACTTTGCCAAGTTTAAGTTGAGTGTGAAATTAGAAAAGTAAATATGGTGTGATTGAAGTTTGGGCAGATGAGAGAGAAATTGATAAAATTACAAATTAATTGCTTTAAAAGGATATAACAAAGTTTTTTGGGACAAACAAAAAAAAGTTGGCAAAGTCTAGTTGGACAGAGGGAGTATTTAACATTATAATCTTCTATTTGTGAATTAAACAATATATGATCGTTGTGTTAAGATAATCTTTTATATAAAGTTAATAATACTTCTATTATACGTACAAGTTTGGAGTATTGCTCTCTTAATAGTTTGGAATGCTACTCTCCTTGTAAAGTTTACTTTATCTGCCGTTTTTTCAAATGTTAGGCGGTAGTGATGGGCCCGGATGTCTACCGGTTGCGGGCCGGGCCGGGTCCGGTTCTATTTTTTTTGTTTTCTTGATTATTTCATCCCCTACCCCCCATCCCCCAAACCCATCGGAAACACCCAGCCCCGCCCATTTAAACCCAACCCAAACATAAAAAGGCCCGAACCGGGCCGGTTCACATTTAATCAATCCCGGAACCGCCCCGGTTTCACCCTTAAACCGGGCCTAGACTTGGAACCGGTACCCGGTTCCCGGGCCGGGCCGGGATGGGCCCACACAGTACTGGACCGGGCCGGTTCCCGGATCGGGTGGCCCGCACCGAGGCCATCACTATATGGCGGTGCGCTTGCCCAACTTCGAAGTGATCTGTTCTTGCTTGTCTCTTGCTTTGCTTGTAGAACTTTGCTTGTCTTCTACGTTTTCTTGTTCTTCGGAAGAGTTTCCGGCATCTCGTGATTATTAGTGTGGGTTCGCCTTGTGCAAATGAGATGTTTCAGCGCCATCTTCATGCGGTCGCTTGTCGAAAAGCACAACAACAAGGTTCTGGGCGGTAACAGTTCCTTAAGTATGGCTTCGAGGGAAGAACTTAGGAAATAGGAATCAGTGCTGGCATATGGCAATCGAAGAGGAAGAGGATGATTTGATTTTTGGAGTTGCACGGTCTTGCGATTTAGTCCTGCCCTGGATTTCAAGAAGAATCAGTCCTAGTTTTTTAAGTATCAATTTAGCTTTTTATTGAATAAAGTATCAATTTAGCTTTGGTATGGAGTTTTATGTTAATTTTCATCATTTGCAATGGAGCCAAATGTTTACTAGTTTTTGTTTGGGAATATGACGAAATAAAGCAAAATGACTCATTAAATTGTCTGTGTTTCTTTGTTACTACCTCTCTCCCGCTAAGATTGTCCCGCTTTACCATTTCGGTCCGTCCCACTAAGATTGTCCCATACCAAATTTGACAAAATTTGTGTGGCTCTAAATCATTCTTACTTTATTCTTACTTTATCAATTCAATATCAGCCACATAAACCACTTTTTATTAGTTTGTGTGTCACTCCCTCTAGTCCCATTGTTAGCGGGACGGAAGGAGTATGAAGCAGCAATCATTTCATGCAATTTTCATAGTCATGGACCCGGGCCGGGACCGGCCGGACTTTTTTTTGGGAAGTAAGGCCTGGGACCGGCCCGGGTAGCCACCGGGTCCGGGCCGGGCCGGGCCTCCGGTTTGGTCATATACTACCTCCGTCCCGTTGGAATGTTCCCGTTCGGTTTACGATGCTTGACTGACGATAAAGCAACTCGATCCCTGTTCACACTCCGCTTATTTTTAGTAAATAAAATTTACATATTCAGAAACTACATTAAAACCGCTACAAAGCCTGATCAAGAAAAGTTCAATTTGATAAAAATTTGATATATAAAGTAAAAGATTGTGAGTGACCTAAGTTGACCAATGAATAGTGAACGGGAACATTCCAACGGGACGGAGGGAGTATTTTTTTTTTTTGCTTTCCTAACCCCCCCAAACCCCCCCAAACCCCTCCTAACCATCAAGCCCAACCCGGGTAACCCCAAAAAATGAAAAAAAAAATAAAAAAAAAATCAATTCGGCCAGGACCCGGGCCTGACCCGGCCGGGCCGGGCCGGTTCGCCAAATACAAGGCCCGAGCCCGGACTCGCCCCCCCACCGGACCTAGGCCCGACCGGACCCGAGAACCGGGCCGGTTCCGGGCCCGCACAGTAGCGGGCCGGGCCGGTCCCGGGCCGGGCGGCCCGAACCGGGTCCATGACTAAATTTTCAACGCGATTTTTCATCTTGGGTCACCTAGAAATAGTCTCTTTGTGTTTTAATACAAAGGTAAGACTGTCTACATTCAACCTCCTCTGACCCTACCGTAAGTGGGACAATGAGAACCTTTGCGCCATTGGGATTTGGGGATGATGGTGATGGAATTTTATATTCACTCTTACTATTGCTCCTATTCGCATTTCATTTTTTAGTTAGGTTGATTATTGTTTTTCCTTTGGTCATTAGGTTTCAAGTTGGTCATTAGGTTTCAAGTTGAGATCAAAGTCGGTCCCAAAGAGACTAGATCAATCATTATTGCGTTAAAGTTGCTCATGAGATGGTTAGCTGGTCATAGGCATGGACCCGGGCCGGTTCGGGCCTAGGCCGGGCCGTGCCTCGGGTCTGTTTTGTTGGGTCCGAGCCCGAACCGGTGGCCACCGGTTCCGGGCCGGGCCACCCGGTTAGTTTATTTTTTCTTTCTTTTCTTCCCCCCCCCCCCTCACCCCCACCCCCCAAACCCCCCAAACCGGTCCTAAACATCAAGCCCAACTCAATAAAGCCCAAAAAATGAAAAAAAAAAAAAACAGTTTTTGGCCCGGACCCGGGCCCGACCCGGCCGGGCCGGTTCGCCAAATACAAGGCCCGAGCCCAGACCCGCCCCCCCACCGGGCCTAGGCCCGACCCGGACCCGGACCCGAGGGGCCGGTTCCGGGCCCGCACAGTGGCGGGCCGGGCCGGTCCCGGGCCGGGCGGTCCGAACCGGGTCCATGACTAGCTGGTCATATTGTTCTCGTATGGGTGATTAATACTCCTTATTTCATATGATCCATGGGCTAGTGATCGTATCATAAGTTCTCATATTCATTGTGATTTAAATAAATCCTTTATAATTAAAACATACTTTCAAATATTTAGACAATAATATAATCACAAAATGACACGATTATTTAGTCAATAATTAAATATGCTAATTCAAATATATTTTGAGAAACAATTTTGATGAGTATATAGTATATTGAGTTATTGATGATAAATGTAATGTTATAAATGCATTATTTTTAATATTTGATGATTAAATTGTTATTTAAAAGTGTTAATTGTTTCTTAAAATAAAAAGTGGGAACCTTTAAGTGGGACGTCCAAAAAAGAAAAGTGAGAACCTTTAAATGGGACAGAATATATACTAATTTGAAGTATTTACCTTACACCTTTAAATTTGAGGGATTTGAATTTTGTTTTTCCTTAGATTTTTTTATTTTCGATTTGGTGTCTAAGCTATGATGCCTTTTCATAATAACAGCTTAACATTAATCTAACGATTCAAATTCAATCAATATGAATGACTACTTATGGTGCCCCAATTATGCAGATATATGAATGTGTGCATACAAAATTACAAATATCATTTTTGTGTAGGGTGTCATACAAAAAGCATAGTTTTCTAAATAATACTACATCTATCAATACACATTTTCTGTGTTATAGATCAAAGCATTTTTAAATACCTTAATTTGGAAATTGCTAAGGTGAGATTAAGGTATTTATCTCAACAGCTGGTAGCTAGTTATCTCTGCATTCCCTTCTGAAGCCTCGTTTCATCAAAGATCCCTTGAATATCTTGAGATGAAACTAGAGCTGTTTAGAGTACAAAGAGTTACCATCTTGTTGCTAGTTATAAAATACATCACATGCTCTACTCATTTTAAGGCCATGATGAGAGAGAGAAGTGTTCTAAGTATTAGTTTGATGGCCCAAATATATTATATCTACACTTCCAGCAGATGCTTGATTCGCTGCACGAT